CCTGCTTCTAGAAAAGAAATTAAAATCAACTTAAATCTGATGCATCCTAATTACATACCTCCTGGCTGAGGAATAAAATTCAATAACCAACTTTCCACTTAAAAAAACATAGGCAACACGCAATAATCTGAAGAAAATATTTTTAGAGGATGTCAGATTACAAGGAAGAAACATTATATAAATGTTTTCAACCTAGAACAGAGCCATCCAAAAGGTGTGGTGAATAAAACATTCCTTCATATTCAGAGATGTCTCAGATCCACTCCTAACAAGAGTAAGTAGCTGCTCCAAATCTCTAAGAAAATACTGCTTATTTCCAGTTAACATATGTGCAAAACAGTATGTAAAACTTTGCATAACTTAAATTATAGCATTCATTTTTATGTACAACTGATTTTTTTCTTACAGCATTTGGTATCCTTGAGCTTATTTGTGCATCAGATTATTGCAATATCGTTACTTAGAACTACTGCAGAAAAATCAACATTGTTCTTCATTTGCTTTAGTTTTTAAAAATGCAATTTGTGGAATCTGACCAAATAGAAAAAAATTCTACTTTGCACATCATTGATAGGGTTAGAATTAAAATTCCTCAACCAGCTGTTTTGCATTATTTGAAAAAAAAAAAAAAAAACAAACAAAAAAACCTGCATGTAATGGTAAAACATAATATCACTCACACAATTTTATTATGTTAACATTTTTCTTTTAGTCTGACATAAATGGCATAAATTTGGTAGCTTGTGACAGCCTATTAGTTAATAGTTCCACCACTGTTTCTTGCAAACAGCAATGAAGATTGTTTGGTCTGTCTCACATATTTATGGTACAACCAACAAAACCTCCACTACCTTCAAGATGCTGTTCCCACTACTTCTAATGGGACTTCCATCACTGTGTTTAGATCTGAACACTCCACTACTAGTAGCAGTACATGTAAAAGAGTGGAACAGAATATCTAGAATTGGAAAGGATCAAAAGGATCATCAAGTCCAACTCCTGGTTCCACAAAGAACCACCCCAAAAATCAAACCATATTTATGAGAGTGCTGTTCAAATGATTCTTGTAGTTCAGAATGCTTGGTGCCACAACCTGGGGAGCCTGTTCCATGCCCACTACCCTCCGGCGAAGAACCTTTTCCTAACACCCAACCTAACCCTCCCCTGAATGGCTCCATGCCATTCCCTTGGGCCCTGTACCTATCATCAACACTGACCTTCCACTCCTTGTGAGGAGCTGTAGGCTGATGAGGTCTACACTCATTTTGTATAGGTCAAGGAACATCAGTTGCTCCCCATACATCTTGCTCTCTATACCTGTCTTCTTCCTAGCCCTCCTTTCGGCACTCTAATAGCTTAATGCCCTTCTTAAGTTGTGGCCCCAGATTTGCACTCAGTGCATGAAATGCATACAGGCGCCTTTGTCCATTTTAGGTGATGATATCCAAATGATCTTGAACATATCAACTGAAACTTCAGCTTTTATTCTAATTTAAATGTTATTTTACCGTCTCGAATAAATGCATCTTACCTGTCTCAACAATATTGCCTGTTTTCAGCTTATTTGGCTTTAAGTCAAGCCTCAGTTGCTCTATAATGATTTGTTCAAGTTTATGACATTACACATTGTTGACTAACAGCCTCATTTTGCTTACCGTCAACATTACAGCTGGTTTTGAATTTTTCTAAGTTGCCTATTCTGGCATGAATTTAATTTCATTGATGTTTAACACTGATCCTGAGGGCTCCTCTTTGACTGTTTGTCACCCAAAGATCAAATACTTTTGCTGTTGACTTTTAAAATCAATTATAATCTTGCAGGATTTGGCTGAGAGGATAACCCAAAGTGAAAGGCAACGAGTCTTAAGAGAGAAAGTTTCCTGATGCATTAAATAAGATTGATTTTCTACGTGCAGAAACAAAAGATCTAGTAAAAGAAAGGAGAAAAAAAAAAAAAAAAAAGGAGCTAAGTCTTTCCTATGATACATATAAAATGTGCATAAATCCATATTGCTGTTGTTGAATTTTAGGATCTGTTATAATAGAGGACAGTCTGGCAAAGTGCTGGAGGGATGCTGTTACACAACATGTTCACAAGACTTAAAGGCACCTTTTCTTCTTTCTTTAAACACTTCAGTTTTTCCTGTGACATATTCTATCTTTAGTTCAATTAATAAAATAAAACAAAACAAAAAGTTAAATATATCCCTGTCAATAAATCCCTTTAACCTAATATTAAGAAACAACAAAAATCTAATTGAAGTGCAATTTTTCATTTCTACACATTTCCTCATCTGCTTCCTAGTTCTGATAGTTTTGTTAATTGGATCTGAACTAAATGTCCAAATTTAACAGAACAATTGAGCCAAACTGAAGTAATGCACTACATAATTTTTTTGTTGTTAATAGATAAATGCCTTCACTTTCAGAGTCATTTTCTTATCTATATAAGTGACTAATACAGATTAATAGACTCCTTGGAAAAATACACAATACCTTAGAAGAACAAGCAAATATTTTCTTGAAAATATCCTTTTCACACTGTGAACAACAATTCCTCCAATTCACAGAAAAGATATACATTTGCTTTACAGTTTGAATTAAGTTGGAAAACATTTTAAGGTACTGAATTTGAATTTTTTTGGAGGAATTATTCACATATGGAAAAGCAGAAGGTCACTAAAAACAGATTTTAAAGTGATGTATTTTAAAAGCTTATTTTTACAGCATATTGAATCATCGCAGAAGATAAGCATAAGAGTACAAGGCCTTTTGTCTAGCAGTTCTTAGTAAGGAGTTGCTGTTATGTGATCGATAACAGGGAAGAAGCTTGGGAAAAGACAGCCAGAAGGTAGAAAACAGTGATAGAGAAGCAACTCAGGGAAAGATGGAAGAGCTGCAAATAGCAGACTCAGAGAAGTTAAAGAAAAGAGCAGATGGGCTGGCAGAAAAAGCTACTCAGAGAAGCCTGTGATAATATAATTGCTTAATTGGCTAGAGCGTCTGAGCAAGGAACTGCAGGATTGCCCTTTATTTGTCTTTCCAGGCCACAGATTGCTATAAGTAGCTTCTTTTTACTCCTTCTGCTTTTCAGTTTCTCCTTCCCACAGTTGAGAACCTTCCCATTAATGAGAATTTGTCATTACAGAAGCAAGCCACAAAGTCCTGAGAGACAGGGAATGACCTCTCCTGAGGTCAGTGCATACATACACTGACATGGAACAGAAATCCAGAATTGTTAGGAAATAATTTCACCTAAAAATTATGTTTGGAAATGTTTTTGTTTTCCAAACACCAGTATATTTTCCTTCTGAAAACTGCTTTTTTTTTTTTTTAGTCCAAATGGCAACAATTTATTGTATTGAACAGGACAATATATTCTGCTAAATAATCAATGATAATCATTTTCTTAGAATATTGTCTTCTGGGATTTGGACATTTTTAGCACAAGTGAGGAAGTTTCAAGTTACAGCCAATTATATAGCCATGTAAGTCATTAGCTAGCTATATGTATTTCAATCACATTATCTAGGGAGGAGTATTTCTCAACCCCACAGAGAAAATGGAAGCCCAGGCAATAACAGCAATACAAATGTGGCTACATGCTGATCAGCTCATGAACAAAAGAAAATGAACCATTTCAGGTTCAGGAATACAGTGTTTTATTTCAATCAAAAATGCCAAAACAAAATATTTCAATTTCTCCAAATGAGTGTTCTGTGGGCTGGTGTTAAAATTCCATCTTCCTCAAAATAAAAGCAAATCTCGATATAGCCCAGGGGAGGAAACCATGCAATTTCTTCTCATCTACTTGTTTCTACTCCTCATTTTCAGAACACATCCTAAATTATAGAAGTAGTTAGTAAAGAGGCCAGTGAACATTATGAAATGTTTAAAAAGAGATAGTCTGAGCTTCACAGTAAGTTAGTAGGAACCATAGGAGTCTAAAGAACCCTACCAGTGTGATGAAAATAAAATTTTATTTGGGGTAGAATCATCGCAACTGAAATCTAAACAAAAATAAACAGATCCATGATGTAACTGTTCATGCACATACAAAACACTAAAAACAAATTAATAAAGATATCCTGTTGTCAGAACTCAGCATTAATTTGCTTTCCAATTCCAGTCAATTTGTTATCACAAATGCCTTCTATTAAAATGTTTTATCTGATACAGGGTGAATTAAAACTATCTTTTTATTCTGATGATAGAGATGCACTTAGCAGCATATAAAATAGTGATTTAATGGACACTTAATGGTCCGACGCTTTAAATGAACAAATCATAAATTAAAGCTTTCGTAGACTTTTATGCTTTCCCATTTGGATCCTAAAAACACAATTTGCATTCATTATTTAGGGCTGATATATAGTAGTTTGCCTCTCAATGACATTCAGTTGTATCACAATGTTTGTCCCCATCGCACACTTGATAACAACATTTTGCCTTTTAAGAAGCTCTTCATTTAAGGTCCTGCTCACAGCCCTCCCAAGCTGAAGATGGGCAGAATCGTTTCAAACTCCTCTGGGTAACTGAATTTACTGAAATAACTAGAAACTGAGCAATTGCTAGCTATAAATCTATTTCTTCTTCTCCAATTCACTTCATAATTTCAATCGACACAGTAGGGCGTGGATTTCCAAATCATCATGTGAAAACTGAGCCAAAAACCTTGATAAGTAAATCATAGTCTTGTATGCACCAGATATGACACTGCAAGAAATACCTTCACAGAAATAGATTTGAAAAAACACATTTTTTCCCTTCTGTAAGTATTTTGTGTTTTAAAATGCTCTTCTATATGTTTTTTACATCTGAACATTTACTACTGCGAACCAAGGAACCTCAAACTATGATACCTGCTTGTCTCACAAGAAGGTGAACCAGAAGAAATAAAACCTCAAAACCTACTGAAATCAAAGCATCAAGATATGTAAGTTCTTAAGCACAGCAATACACATATTCTAAATTGAATTCAAGGACTTCTACCCTACTACCTGGCAGTTTATGTCCTGGTCCTCAGTCCTGGGAGAGGGAAGGCAATTCTGTGCTCCCCAGCATCCTCAACCATGACTTGATAGAAGAGAAGGTTCATAGGAGGTAACTGTGCCAGTCCTTTAAGCATTTCTTAGAAAGAGGAGGAAAAAGTCACTACAGGTTTCATTCAAGGCATTTATAAGAAATCACACATCAGACTGCTTGGTAGCAAAGGCAGAAACACTCTGTCCTGTACCCATTTCCACCCGCATATGCAAACCATGCAGCTGGCCTTTCCTTCAAACCCCCAGTACGAAAGCCTCTGCTCCCATCATTACTGTCTAATAGAGTACTCTAGAATCTGTCCAAATAGGAAGACAAATCTGTAGCAACAAAGGCATAGCTGTTTTTCTCTTTTGTTTTAACCAGTAGTTAATCCTCTCTTGTAGTTTACCTGGCAAGCAGCTCGCAAAACAGCTGGTCACTCACTCACTCCTCCAATTCCAGTGAGAATGAGGAGAGAATTGGGGAAAAAAACATAGAGCTCTTGGTTAGAGAGTATAACACTTTATTTATCGAGACAGTAAAGGAAAATCACAATGGTAATGATAATAACGTAACATAAATTTACAAAATCAGTGTTGCACAACACAGTTGCTCGCCATCTCTCAACCAATGCCCACCCAGTCTCTGAGCAGCAGCCATTCCCCTGGCCAGTTCCCCTCGTTTTTATGGCTGGGTTTTTTTTGTCACATGATATGGTATGATATAATATGGAATATGCCTTTGGCTAGTTTAAGTCAGCTCTGTTCTGTTTATGCCCCCTCCTGGCTTACAGTGCTCTTCCAACCCCCTTGCTGGCAGGGCAGTATGAAAAGCTGAAAAACTGATATGTTCTTAGCTCTATACTACACTGCTCAGCGACAACTAAAACACCAGTGTGTTATCAACACTGTTTTTCTCCTCAAGTCAAATTATAGCATCATACCAGAATCCAAGAAGAAAATTAACTGTCTCACATGCAAATAGAACCAATAACTTTTTTAAGGGGCCGTTTTTATACACACGTTCTGCTGTACATGTAACATAATCCTACACATTATTCAGTTTCTCTTCTTCCTGCATCACTGTGGCTTTCAATACATAAGTAATTTGTGATTGAAACAAATATACAAGCACCATATAACACACACATACACATAGATTTCTGGATTTATATATTCATTTTGCATATAAATATTACTTTTATTGAAATATAGTACTTACCTAAAATAAAAATAATTTCTTAGTCAAAATATTCCTGGTTAAAAGCAATAAAGCCAAAATAATTTAATCATTTCCTCAATACATTTTTGAAATTTTGAAGTAGAATGCCTTCAATTATTTTTTTCAGAATAAGTAATGGAAATAATTTTAATATTACAGAAATAATTTTACTATTTTTTTTTCCCCCAACAGCTTCAATTAATTTAGAGGGTTGTTTTATTTCATTTCTGAATTGCTCCTGCACATGCTGGTTTATCACAATCTGCTAATAAAGCATTTTCAGATTGTTTCAATGGTAACACATAGGTGGAGTATTTGTTGACCCCATAATAAGGTGTGCTTGCATTTTTTCTTCTTGTACTGTATGACTAGAACTTACCTCATTTTTAAATGTGTTGTCGTCTCTAGGTCATTTCAGCCATTTCTGCCTTCTGCACCGTTTCTTCCCAGTAAATATCTATATTTGCAATAATTCTCTCCTGACCAATTAGTATTGGAAGTATCATACTTCATTTCCTCCTATTCTCTTTCACTTCCATTTTCAACTTCTTCTATACTGCAAGCCTAACAGGATTATATAAATATCAATATCAGTATCTCAAATGATAGATTCTCAAATGTAAGATCTCAAATGATCTTTTCCTCCCACAAGTAGTATAGTTTTCTTTTTTATTTCATACAAAACTTTATTGCATTTTTAAAATATATAAGCAACAGTTTAATGCCATAAAAATGAATGTGAATTTCATCACAAAAAATGTGTTTAAGTAAAAAGAGACATGAGAGTAAGAAAAGGTTAAAAAATAAGATATTTTTATGCATACTAAGTCTTCCCAACATAGTTTTCTAGTTGCTTAATATGTGTGACACAGTCAAATCTACACTGTCTATTTCATCTGTTTCAGGGCTGTATTCATTCCAATTAGAACAAAAATCCTCTTTATAAATTGCCATGTGATGCCTGTTCTTCATCCAGCCAGCTTTGGGACTGCTAATACAATCACTTGTAAACCATTATCAGACCTTCAGCAATTCATATGCTTACATATGAATGTAAACATTACATATGAATGAAAAACAGTCTTCATATTTCTGTCATCTTTCAGGGACTTTGGATATTAAATGAATTGCTCTGTGACAGTCTGCAAAGAAAAGACTTAAAATTATTGTATAAAAAGTCTGTTCAATTTCCTTAATTAAAAATTACTATAAATAGTCTATTAATTGGTCTTTTGGCATTTTTGTTGAATTTATATGTGACAAATGCTGGAACAAGCCTAATTAGACATATTAGTGTGAACTATTGTTAGGGTGCTATCGCATGCCAGTTCTGCAACATATTTCTTCTATAGAATTTAATGCTTAAACCTTTTATAATTGAAGGCTAACCATATCCATTACATATGCTTATTTGTATACAGAGCTCTTTCTTCTTGTAACCAGGTAGTCAAACAAATGTTATATTCAAAGCACTGAATACACCTTCTAATAACTACAGATATGAGAAAGCACTTTTATATTAGCTTCCCAGAACTCATCACAGGAAGGAGAGCAGCAGGACAAAAATTAGGACTGATCTCCTCTCTCTCTTTTGTAAAACTTAAGAGATTTACATAAGAGATTTCAGATCTCTTAAGAGCAGATTCCCTGCCTATCAAACCATTCTGACGAATTTACATCAAAGTAAGACAATATAACACACTTTTTTCTTGTTTTCTTGTATTGTTTTCTTTTGTTTTTCCTGTTTTACTGATACAAATATTCCTAAATTAATATAATGCATACAGTGGCACTCTAAAAATCTATGTTCCAATAACGAGGGAATTTCACATAATTATATTGTAGATTGTATAAGTGTTTTTATGTGTAATCAGGATTACATGGCTCCTTATTCAAATATCTTACAAGTGTTGTGTTATAACAGAGAGGCTTAACTCTAGAAGAGTTTACTTTCCTTCAGAAGTGATTTTGATTATCCCTGAGTTTTCCTACAGAATTGCTGCTTTCTCATTTCCATCTAACTACTTTGCCCTTAATCCCTTCTACCTTTATCAGTCTCCATTGCCTCTGTTTGGATTATTTCAAACTTCAGGTTATATGAAGACTTATTTTACAGCACTGGCCCATTTAAAAGGTTTTCAGATTTGATGTGTGGCTTTTCTGCATGAAAGTATTGCAGTTATCATTGTAAAAGATCTTTAGATTGAGTAGCATCATGGTGACTGAAGTCCAGTTAATGTGCAAACAGTCCCATTATTAATATGCAAGAATATGACTTGAATAGTCTTGCTGAATGATTCATTTTGCACACTATCACTATATTTGGAGTAGTTTATAAGGACCACTGCTATCTCCAAAGTTGATCGTGAGCTACAAGGAAACCCCAGTTAATTAATTCTTACATTAACTTTAGATAAGATCCTCTCCAAAACAAATGCTCAACCTTTTTCAGGAGAATCTCACTTGTTTGATTTGATCTTCTTTCAGCATGGAAGAACATATTTGGGAAATCCTTTCTGCTTTCACAAGGCAAAAATACCTTTTGCAGACACAATCGGCAAAATCCTGTCTTCAGTGGTTGTTTTTTTTTTTTTGCAACAAGTTTTAAAGAACAATAAAGGTTTGTGTAAGAAAGCTTTTCTATTTGAATCTGTAATATGTCTATTTATCCAAATGCTCTTTACCAAATGCTCTCTCTTCCCTGCAAATCCATTTGCAGTTTCTGCTAAATAATGACAGAAACAGGAAAAAAATTGTATTCTAGAAAAGCTTCAGACACATAAATGACAGCAAGACAATAGATACTTCTAAATTAAATTAAATTAAATTGGGACTGGAGCACCTCCCCTATGAGGAGAGGCTGAGGGAGCTGGACTTGTTCAGCCTGGAGAAAAGAAGGCTGCCGGGTGACCTCATTGCAGCCTTTCAGTACCTAAAGTGAGCCTACAAACAGGAGGGGAATCAACTCTTTGAAAGGGTTGACATGTGTAGGACGAGGGGAAATGGTTTCAAGCTGAGGGAGGAGAGATTTAGGTTGGACATCAAGGGGAAATTCTTTACCCAGAGATTGAAGAGGTACTGGAACAGGCTGCCCAGAGAGGTTGTGGATGCCCCGTCCTTGGAAGTGTTCAAGGCCAGGTTGGATGGGGCCCTGGGCAGCCTGATTTAGCATTAAACATGGAGTTTAGTGGCCCTGCATGTGGCAGGAGAGCTGGAGATTCATGATCCTTGAGGTCTCTTCAAACCCTGGCCATTCTGTGATTCTGTGAAATTGAACAAGAATAATTAATATAAACATAGTAGGACACAGCAAAGTAAAATACACCAAGAAGTTCATTAAAAGCACATAAGTAAAGAGGTTTAATGAATATTAGCAACGATGAATAAACAATGTATTACAAATGTCAATCACATAAATTAACTTAAAACAAAAAGCTAATAATACAACTGTTTAAAAGCAGACATGATAAAAACTATTCAAAATAGTGAGCATTTACAAATAACTGCTGAAAAAGTGATCAGTATAAATATTCTTCACATGCAGTGAAAAGTCAGTAAAAAAAACTGCTCTTCAAAGTTGTGCATGCATTTCAGTATTTGAAAGACTGTTTATCAGAGTTTTGTATAACATATTTTTTTAATACTTGAAAAAAAAGCTTCTAAGGTATTTTGATTGACAATTTTTCACCCTGATTTTAATACTAATTTTTAAGTCTTTATTTTTAATACTTACTAATCCCATAACTAGTGTAAATGAAGTCCCAAATTATTTTGAACTGAGGACAGAAACTGAAATATCTTTTAAATATATATTAATTAGTCCGTTATAATCACACCTACTGTTTCTCCATTTAATATTCTGAAATGATCATAAAGGAAAACTTAAAATTTCTTTGAAAAAATAACTGATTACCATTGAAATACAGAGAAAAAAGTCTGTGAGAAGTTTTATTATCTTGCTCCCATCTCTGTGAAAAGTAAGTTTAGAGATGGTGACAAAATAAATTCAAGTCACTCACAGTTGAAATAGACAACTAAAGAAAGACAAATATGCCCTGGCTCTCTTTCTGCTGAAAGAGATTGTTTATTAACTAAATGAATTTACAATGCACTTAAGTTTTTGCATATAGTAGATGTTATCAATAACTCTAAAACTCCTTTTTACTCAGGTGAACAATTAGACAATTAGAACAATCTGCATGTAAAGTTCCCCCAAGGTTTTATTACGACTTTTGTTCATGCATTATCAGAAAGACAACCATTCTTCAGTAGAAGCCTAAAAACCCCACTTAGATTAAAAGTGAGAATGAGCAAAGCAAATAGCAACAGAAACACTAAAGTGGATTTGATTTATTTCAGGTAATGTATAATCAGATAAAGTATTTGGGATCACACTTAAGTACCTTTAAGAAGCCTGCGTAGCATGCACTTCTGTTTTCATCTGCTAGTGTTATAAAACAGCATCTGACAACTATTGGGCTCAACATTTCATAAGTATTACTGGTAGCATCTTTCTTGAATGATTGCCTCCTGTGGACCTGGAATAAATGAATATGAAACCTGCATACAAGCCATGACTGAAATTTTTCATGAGATTTATACAAAACAGATCCTCAGCAGTGAGAAGATACACTTAATAAATATTTTGGGAATATTTTTTTATTCATGAAATGCTGCAAGTCCTTGAAATTCCCCAGAAATTTCCAAAGCTCCAGTCATTATCACCAGTTACAGCCATACTCTTTATTTTTAAAGCTTAAAAATGAAAAAAATATATATTTACATAACAATCTTTTGCCTCCTTAGAAGAGGTTCTGCTCCTATTTTGGTCTTACTAGACAAACTTAGATAAAAAAGCAACAATTCTCAATCACATATTTTCCCATGAATAACACTGCGTAATAAATATTCCTTAACAATGAGCTAATGAGATAGGCTAACTGATGCTTCAGTTTTGCTAGTAATAATCAAAAAGTATGACTCAGGGCAGGTTAGTAAAAAAACCCAGAAGTTATAAATAGCAGAAAACAATATTTCACAAACATGTCTATATCACTCCTTAGAAGTCATATTTAAACAATGCATTACCTTTTATAATTTTTTATGAGATTTATGAGTTTGAACTTAACACATCAGTCCAAGACAGATGACAGTTCAAAAGCTTGAACTTTTTTTTTAGAAAAAGTGGATTTTTAATGCAACATTATTAGAATTTTGCAAGAATAATAAATGAGTTTATGCCATTGAATTAATTAATGAAATGAATCTAATCTACCTGCTGCAAATCACATGCTATTTCTGACACAACATACTCAAAACAGTTTTTAAGTTTGAGTAATTTATATACTACAATTAATATTACATCATCAATACTAAATAAATAAATAAATAAATAATCAATACTTAGAGTTTTTCAACAGATTTCTGCTATTACATCCTTTTGCAAATCAGCTGTTTGTCTGGTTTGTTCTATTTTGTCACAAAATGCCTGCTAATCTTAGTGAAATGATTCACAATTCTATCACCAGGATTACACTGTTCTCTTTTTGAGCCTCAATCCCAAACCACAAATGTCAGTGAAAGGTTTTTATTGACTGTACTGGATGGCAGAACAAGCAGTACCCAGGATGTCTTGAAAATTGCTTTTGATGTTCTCTGGCTTTTTCACTTTAGCTACTTGCGTGATCATAGTCATAGAATGTCAAGCCTAATTTGTTAGCGACTTAGAAGAGGATTTTTCAAAGAATTTCTTGAAACGCCTTCTTTCTTGTGTCTAACTGTTTCTAAGAATCAAATCTTTTTCTGCTTTTTTTTTGCTTTTTGGGATCCATTGGATCTCTCCCACACCTTCAGAGTGTGGATCTTATTGGAAGATCGTGAGTTATCTGAAGTTCCTATACTACACTGAGTTAAACTGTTAAGCTAAAGGAGACTGTTTACAACTTTTGTTGTTCCAGTTTACAGGGAAAAAGTTACTGAATTAAAGCAAAGCAATATATACTTCCAATGTATAAAGATAAACCTGCCTCAGAAGGTTGACCAAATATCTTCAGAATCAATACACGGACACCTAGGAGTAAAAGAAAACAATTTTAGGTCACTCTGCAAACAACAAATTCCCTTGCTCCGTGACAAGAAACACTTGTTCTCACAGTTCTGTTACTCTTTCCCTTCTCTTGACCATGAGTCACATGTCTAATTACCTGAAAGTAATTAAAGAGCAGTGGCAGGCATGCTTGGAGGACTTCAAGAAAAAGGTAAATGCACTGAAGGACATGGTTTAGTAGGTATCGCAATAACGGGTTGATAGTTGGACTAGATAATCTTAGTGGACTCTTCCAAACTTAATGATTCTCTACTTACAGATGAAGAGGAATCAGGACAAATGAACAGAGCAGGCAGTTTTTGTTCAGTCACTGCTCAGGCATGTAGATGCTGACATTTTTCCTTGTTATCTCTAAAGTCAAAATTTTAGCAAGATGATGTGCTCAGAAAATGATTTTTAGCTTTCCCAGTGAATAAATTAATTATAATTGCACTTTATAAAACTAATGGGAGATGAGTGAGATTATTTTGGATCCTGCTGTTTGTTGCCTGTGTAAAGATGATACATACTGCATCTTGGGGTGCCAAGGCCTTGTAGCAACAAGCAATTATGCATTCCTGCCTGCTCGGCATCTGTGATAATACCTCTTCCAAAGCTATTAAATATACATACATCTGTGTCCAGAGAGAGTACTGCATGCTTGGATTTGATAGATGAGAGCCAAAATCTTTTTTTTTTTTTTTTTTTTGTTAATCTCTTCGGTTAACAGTGGTATTCTAAGTAGCTATTTCCTTTGCTTTTTTCTTCAGAAGGATTGGTTTTCTCAAGTTAGACTTAGTAAGAATTGGTTGGCCTGAAAGTGCTTTCACCAGTAACATTAAAATGAATTTTTAGAGTACAGATCCTCACAGATAGGGTGTGTGAATGCTGCTCATGAAAAAGTACCATACTTCTTGTGTCAGACAAGAAGAGCCATGCTCAGGTGGAATTTTCTGCAATTTTCTAGCATGCTTTCATTCAAAACCAAATCAGTTTGTGGCTATGTTGTGCTATCAGGTCCTTCTCACCTGGAAGTTTTAGAAAGGAAAAATCATAGTGATTTCATAATTTACTGAGGATTTCTCAAGGGGAAAAAAAAAAGAAGAGAGGAGAGGAGAGGAGAGGAGAGGAGAGGAGAGGAGAGGAGAGGAGAGGAGAATGATTGAAGCTGAAATCTTTCAGCTCTTCCTGTCATTCAGTTTGAGATTGGTCTTAGGCATTTTGTCATGAATTTCTTTAATGCTTTCAGAATTCATTTGGTCTCTTCGTATCCATTAATTCGCATATAGCAAAACTGAATGACACAGTCACAGAAAGACCAGGAAAAACTAGCATATTCTTTTAAGAGACTAGTTCAACCTAAAGTTTCTACCATGAATGTTTAATGTCGCTACACTACTTCAGAGTAGTTCAGGCTACTACTAGTAGTTCACGTGTCCTTGATTTCAGTTCCAGTAAAAGAAGAGCATTTGATCTCAGCCACATGATATGAGCATGTCCAAGTACTTCCCCTGCAGCTACTTACTGAAAGTCCCAGTTCCATTTCCAGAGACTGCTACAAAGTCCACCGGGAGTGATGGCTTTCAAAGGAGCATTTGAATTACTCAGACTGAAAATATGCAGATGCTACCTGTCCCCTTCAATCATCCAGCCAACCAGCTCAGTTTTAGTCTGAAACAGAAGAAAACACATGGACTATTAAAAATCCTATGTGTACTAGAAGCGTCTCTTCAAAAAACTAAAAATTGACAATGCTTTATTCTTTAGAAGACTTGAAAATAAGTGTTACAATAATGAAATATTAATATTTAAGGAGGTAAACCAATACTTCAGAAAATAATAAGTCACCTTACAACTTACTCAGTAAAAGTTACCATTCTGTGTTTTTTGGACTAAATAGGCTGACATACAAAATGAAAACCCATGAGGACTTTCATTCCGATTCCTGCACCTAAAATATTTAGTTAAGCTTTGATTCAGCTATGACAAAGTGTGAAATTTTAACTGTTAGTGTTCACTTTTAGTGCAAAATTTACTCATTGTACAAACTATTCACAGAAACTGTTATAACAATAAAAATCTAGGCGCTGTTTCTTTAGAAAGATCTTCATATGCTATTGCAATTTTCTGTAGTGCTCGTAGTACTTTGCAAGATGCCCTCTTACCTATGCTATGTCTTAACTCAGGATGGCATATTTTTACATACAACAAAAACTACAGAAGGAATGACAGCACAGAGATCTCTGGTTAGAATGTTTTTACCAATATGATCTAAATGAAGAAGAAAGAGTAACTCTCAAAATACTAGCAGCTACCAGATGCAACGAGTGTTGGTACATGGAAATTGTACAGCAACTTGAGGAAACAGTAACTAGAGCATCTTGCTCAGGAACATCACATGGATTAGATGCATCAAACATTCTTTAATTTAATAGTTATAATTCACTTTTCTGTTCCCCTAGGCTAGCCTGAAAGGAAAAAAAAATCATAGCACAAATATACCAATACAGAAGATATGAAAACAAAGCAAGGTGAAGCTCTGAGGAAAGTTTACGAGCAGAACTTTAGCAGCAGAATGACATATCTGACAGTCTCATTAACACTGTATATGAAAGAGTTCAGAATGTTCAAGAGTAATGAGAAAGCCATGCCCATTAAGATGAAGAGGCAAAAATAACAAAGGCAACTGAAGAATAGCAACAGGATTAGGCAAAAAAACACAACAATTAAGATTTGCAGAGAAAGAGGTTATGGTAGTTATTTGCCTGATTCAGCATAACAGGGAAAAAATAATAATCATACAGCAAAAGTTTGGATTAACAGAAAAAAAAAAGAAAATTCTATAATTTTACAGCAATATACATCCTGAAAAAAAAAAATAGAAGAGGTGACAGGAATATAAAGAATACCTCAATACTGCTGACTTTTGGAAGGTAATAGCTGTTGTTAGGACTGTCATCTATAAACCAGTCAAAAGACAGATGTACTTGAAATGCCTTGCCCAATAAAGATCCCACATGTCACTCAAAATGATCAGACTATTTATTACGGAATTTGTAATGGAAACATGAAAGAAGGTACGGAACGATATAACAGAGACAGATGGACTGTTTTCTATATATGTCATTTAATATGAATCAGTGACTAGAATTGATTAACAGTTGCTGCTATAATGGATTAAACACATTCAAATGACTAGAGAGTAGGTGATAATTAAAATGCAAAGCACATGGCTTCAAAAAGTAACATTTTCTCCTGATAACAGCTAGTATAATCTATTAAAATTAAATAAAATAGACATCCATTTTTGAAGAATAAAGGTCATTCCACTGACAGATCCATAGAAAGATGAAAGCATCAGCATTACATTGATATTACTTACTGCTGCTTCTTCACCCAACTTTGTTCCCTAAACACTTCCTACAATGCACCTGATGTAAGCACATATACCTGAGCATTGTTTCCCATCAAGGAAAGTCCTCAAAAAGGCAGCACACAGATGCTGGAGATACTGCCGCTATCACAGTTTTCCCCAAGTGCCAGCTAGCAATTCTTCATCTTTCCGTTGCATAGCCTGTAAATTATCTGTCAAAGCAACTCTAATTCAGTAGCATTGTATCATATATAATGCTTGTAGGATGAGTTCACCAAATAGTATTTATTTTACTGAAAAAGACCAGAGAGTTTTTCTCACATTCTCTTTTGTCATAGTCATTCACACTGTTTGGAGCAGCCAGCTCTGGTGAGTAATTATTTGTGGTATTTCCAATGAGTTATCTGGAAGACAATTTATTTATGTAAAAGCAGACAGAACTTGTCTGGAAGAAAAGTTATTCATTGTTACTTGACTTCTTAAAAGAGCAAGATGTAAATAATTTTAGGATAGGAAAAACTGCAGAACAATGAATGCAATGAGCTCATTGCACAAATTTGATTTCTACTTCATTCTAAAATATGGAAATCTAAGTATAAGAGTGTCAGTTGAAAAAATTTCATACTGATGCATTTTTTAAATTGCTTTATTTATTTTAAGTAACTAAAAACCAGAATACAGATTTCCCTAAAAATCTCAAATCGTCATAACTATGTCACAAACTACACTTGTACTTAAAATATTTTACAAGATAATTCTCCTGTGCAAAGTACAACCTGATTCTGTTGTTTGGTTCCATGATTTAAGTTGAAGTTTACTCAGGGCTTATATTCATATTAGTGCCTGTCTTCCCAGCTACAACAACAGGAAATATCACAAATATACCATGAAATTAACCATATAAGTACCAAAACAAAAATATCAATCACTCTTGCACTCTGCAGTCACAATAGCATTATGTTACAACTAACCTGAATTATGCTGTTTGGCAATGGAAAGAATATTCAGGAAAAACAGGGTTTTTTTTTTTGTTTGTGTTTTTCCCTCTGCTTCCTCCCCTAGTATTTTATGGTGTCTTAATGAATCTTTTCAGCAATATTTATGTGACAAAATACAAAATTAAGAAGAGGAAAACAAATAGTTTCAATCAAAAATTCCAGCAGGTGGTTTGAGAAAGTAAAATTTCAAACCTTTGTAATATACCTTGAAGACAAACTTCTCTTATTGTCAGAAGATACAATTTTTGCCAGTTCTGTAAAATTATTTATCCATCTACTTTCGTGCACACAATATGCTGAAAAAAATACTAACTTAATGCATAATCTCAGTCTTTTGACAAACAGGTGTGCATCTGTGTATGTATAAATTTCCCTTTGATTCTCATAAGCTGAGGTACTGGCCTTTTTCTTTAAACCTAGTTGCTTAGCAACTAGGAAAGATAGAGCATTTTTAGAAAATAAGTCCTCATTGTTTAACAACAGTTTGAAGATTTTAAAGTGTGTGGATTTTTAGTAGCTGGGACTCAGTTACACAAATTTTAATGAGTAAGTCATACTCCCACTGAAATCAAGGGAAGATTTTTCACTCAGTTTGCAAGGTAGGACTTCCTGTTTGTTGCTTTTCCTGTTTCTTTTTGTTCTGAAGCCAGCATTGAGCACAATATATAGACTATTTCCCTGAGCGCAAAAGGTGCTGAATGTTTTCACCAACTTCAATTACACCTTCTCTGAAAATGATTCTTTCATGAGCACTTATGAGAAATGACAAATGACATATATAATAAGCCATGTCACTGGAGCACTAATCAAATTAGACTTACTACCTTTGCAATCACAAGTGGGTCTTCATGTTTTATATCTGAACACAATTTGAGTCAAGTTAGCTTGCCAGAACACTGCCTCTATCCTCATAAAAGTATATGACAGCTATAACAAGCATTTTGGGAGTAGGCAGGTGCAGCACAATACAGACACAGCAAGTCTAATGAAAATATAAACCAGACTGTTTTCCTCACTAAAAGCTGTATTTCTATTAGCAATTCAGAAAAATATCAATGGTAATCAATTAAGAGTGATTTGGATAAGACATTCTGCAGATGTAGGAGATTAATTATAATCATGTTAGCTTACTGATTGGCTAATTTTGTGTATTTATTTAGACAGTATAGTATGCATTGCCTCTAACATTAAGTCTGTTTTATTTTTCCTACTGTGTGGAATGAGAAAGACAAAGTGCTACAAATATTTGTTTTGCCTAATGAAAAGGTTTGTGCTCTAGTGCTTGCAAATTGTGATTCAAAAACCAGGACTGGAAGTAGCCTGAGAAACACATTGTTTACTGTTTGATTAAAACACTTAAATAAGTCCTGAACCATCAAGAATAATAAGTAGGTGCTCAACGCATAATTTCTTAGCCAATTATTTTTAAGAACTCTTAGAAATATAGCTAAGCATCATAACCTTAAGCCCCGAAATCACTGAAGTAAAATAGCAAATGAATAATTCAGGTAAACAGTATTCACAATTAAATTATAATTTTCTCAAGAGAATCCACTATCATGCATTACTTAATAAAAATATATCAAAAAATAAATTTCATAACCATCTCACCAGGTAGACTTTTTGAAATAAGGTGTTACATGTAGAGATAAATGTATTAATATAGAATTCAAATATTTAAAACTCTGAATAGAAATTATATTATGGTTTCCAGCAATGCCAGTTGCACTGTGCCATCTGAATGTTTTTATAAATTTTCAGTGTTTTACAAATATTAAAAAGTTTTATCCTCAATCTGACAGATTTCATTTCCATTTGCTTAATTTGTCTTGCTTTTCACCTGATGATTGCAGTTTTACGCTGGTGCCAAGTTGTATCTAATGCAAACAATTCCAGCAGATCTTTGCTTACATATTTTAGTTAAATTACCTATTTTAGCAAAATAGATAATTTAAATCAAGGAATTAAATCAAGGAAATTATTTACATTAAATTATGTGATATTTTTCCTTATAACATAATGAATGCTACATTCTGGTTTTGTTAGGAATTTTCACCAGGAAAAGGTGAAGGAGAAAAAGAAGTAAGCTTTTCTATTCTGAGCAAAATTCATAGTCTCATAAACACATAAGTTTTACATCATTCATGTCCAGGGAAACACAGAACAGCTAAGTTTCAGTTAACAGTAAGCTAAGTTCACCTACAGCCACTAGGGTGACAATAAAAGCTGGAAGAGAATTTGGGAGAAATTTGCAGATTTCCTTGATATTAATTCCATTTTCCTTAACAAACCTGTCACTTAAAAATTTAAACTTCCTGAATAAGACACTCACTTGGGAATGTTGTCAGAATGTTGTCCCTTCCACAGGGAAGATGCTCTCTGGTGCAGCTCTCCTGCAACCAGTTCCTCATTCATTGTGTAGAGCACCCAACATAAGTATATGAACAAAGAATAAGCTGCATATGAACTGATGCATTGGAATTATCATCTTCATTTTAAAGTAAATATTAAAGCAAAACAAGCAAAAAACAAACAAACAACAACAACAAAAAAAAACCACCAAACCACTTGAGAGCTTGCATCAACTTAAGGAATATTTGTTGTTACTTACATAATTATTTATCTGCTTTTAGCAATGGAACTCTGAACTAGAGCTGGTTCTAACGTCTGATTCCATACAGGAGTGAATTTTATAATTGGGTAAGGTTGTTTTTTTAATAGGAACTCAACAGTAGTTCTGTTTTGTTATTATTATTTGGGTGGTTTTTTTGTTGGGTTTTTTTTTGGTGGTGGTGGTAGTGGTGTTTGCTTGTTTGTGCTGTTGTTGTTTTGATTTAAACCAAACCAGAAATGAATTAATGGCTGTAGTATTTTACTCATATTCTTCATGTTCTTATTAAAGATGTCAACTACTACTTCAACACTTGTCAGAGATACAGCAAGCTCTTTGGAAAATGTATGTAAATCTCCATATATTCCAGGCTGACAAAGCACTAGCAAGATGAAAAGTTGTAAATACACATCGCTGTTCCCAGCCTTCGGGTGCTTCATAAAATATGACATCTAAAAAATTAAAAATTAACAATTCAAAAATACCTGTTTTTGCAAAAATACAGGTCTTTCATATGATTCTTTTTATAATAACAAAAGTCACTTCTGGTTTTTCTCTAAGAGCAGAGCTAAATAGACAGCCACATTTTCAGTTCTCCTTTCAAGCAGAAAGGGCTTAATCATGTTCTGTATTAACTTCTGTTTGCCAGCACCATGTGCTCTACGTCCTGCATGCTAAACACAGCAATTAATATCACCTTTTATCTGCTGTTAGAGAAAAACGAGCAAACCTCTCTGCACCCCTTTCATTACTTCTGTCCCTGTCTGAGGGATACAAGTATTATGGATTGGGCATAAAAAGACTTGAACAGGGCTTAAAAGATTCTCTCTGAATAGGAGGACAAGTAAATCAGTTCCACATCCTACACCAGGCCATGGGATACGCAAGACTCTCCTGTTCCATAGGAGGTTTTCTGCCTTTTGTTTATTTACAGAATAGAGAACTCAGGGTTGCTAAAAAGCAGAGTGGCTAAAATGTTATTATAAGCAAACAGACAATTTCCATCAATAAGTGATTTCTGTCACAGCAGACTATCTAAGCAGTAGATCTTGGTGCATTACAGAATGCAGAATAGAAAACTCCAGATTTTTTTAGCAACTGCATCATTTTTCACATATACGTACCCTTCGGCTTATTTCAGCAGTACTACTAGAAATTCAATGTACAGTTGAAGATCAAATTCTTTGCCTGTTTTTAAGACAAGATTCTCTTAATATTTCATGGTGTTACACAAAATGAAGCTTGTTTTTTACCACAGCTTGTTAGACAACCGCTACTGATGTGAGTAATAGGGACAAAGTTAGAGACTAGATACATCATTCTGCTAACAGATCTACTATGGGTAGACTGAAGATACTGCAGTTTCTTGTCACTGCAGTTTTCTGTCACCAGTGAATGAAATGAATGAAAGGAAAAACATTTTCATGCAGTCAGAAAAAACAAAGCAGTACTGCTCTTCAAGGGGCAGCATCTACGTGGAAGGTCACTGGTTAAGTATTTTTTCTGATGTATTAAAACTGTTCTACAGCCTGTATTCAAACTTCTTGTAAATTAAACATTTGTAATCAACAATTGGATTAAAAACTCTCACTTCAGCTATTTTTGATGCTTTTGGAATATTAACTCTTCCTAAAGGCATTTCATGGGAAGTCTTGGCCACTCCTGAAGCATCCTTATGGCTCAGGCCCAAGAACTCCCATGACAAAATCTCAGCATCTCTTCCCTCCTGTTCAGGCTTGTTTTGCACTGCCAAAACCATCTACTCAACAAGGCACCTAACAAGCACAGGTCCCAGATAGCTCCACTATATTTCTGGAGTACTTCAGAGAGGACACTGATAAGGTGAAGTCTGAGGAATTTCAGCACGTACTGATTCAACATACTATGCCTGATAAAACACATTTTGATCAACATTTAACACTTTTCAAAACATAAGGAGGTGCTCCAGCAATGGGCAAACATCTAGCTGCAGCCTCCATGTTTGGCCATAGATCTTAGTACGGCAGCCTCCATTATACTACTGAAACTTGAAGCAATGCAGCATGCCAACATAGAAATTAAAACTCTTACTTTAAAGATGGGGAACAAAGAGGTAGCCAAGTACCCAGAAGACAACAAGGTCTAGTCCTGAATCCTTCCCAGAATGTCCTAAACTGAGAAAAGCTGCTTGTGGATATGGCAAGGTTAAAAGATAAAGAGATAGACAGAAATATTCTGGAGGATTGTTTCTGGATGAAATTTCACAGGCGACTTTTTAGACGATCACAAAGGCTGTTCCAATAACTTTTCTGCTGATCTTTCCTATACCTTAAGCAAAATAGGAAATAATTGTGTGTTCTGCCATACTTACCCTCCTCTTTTGTAACAGATGAAACTTTCTCAGAGTTCACTGGCAGCACCTTGTTAAACACATCTGTGTTGAAGGGAGAGAAGATGTATACATCACAGGAGGTCATCAGAGCTGACTGGCAGGAGACTTCTGCCCCACTGCTATGTTTGAAAACCAGAAGCAATTCTGGGCATACCTTCAGGATTGTTATGTCTCTACCCAGGGATTTCCTTTCATGGGAAGAATGAACAGCTGGAAGTATTAAAAACAAGGATGTACATATAAAGTCTTCACCAGTAACCTGGGCTGAAGAATGAAACTTAGCAGATGGGCTATTTTCTCCAGGCAAAACTGGCAGTTCCTTGGAAAGCAGGTGGCAGGCAGCTTTCCTCCCTAGTGCCACAAAAGCAATAAAAGGATATCAGTTTATAAAAGAAAGAATAGCTAAGTTAGAGTGCTTATTTTAATTCTCCTTCTGAGGTTTAATGACTGTATCTTTGCACAAAAGCTTTATAGCACTGAATTACCCAAGGATGGGGTTTTGTTTGTTTGTTTTATCCTCCTTTTCAAAGAAAATGAAATGTTTCCCAGAAGACTTAATAAGAATTTGCAATACTGTTAATGTTTAAACTTGTAGTTGGAAAAACTGCTGCAATCCAGTAGCAAAAATTTGATATATTTCTTTCCTACCTTTTCGGCTGGTATACGATAACAACTCCATAGACAGTGGCTGACAAGAACAGCACAAAATCTCAGATGTGGTGTAAGACGGTATATATGTATACATATAGATATTCACTTTTTGGTGAATAGAGTGAACAACTGAAGAAGATTGATGCTTCCCACTGTTTCTTTCATATTCCATCTTTTTTTTTTTTTCTTTCACAGCTCAGAAATTTCTCATTATTGCTATTTAGTTCTTGAGTCTCTGAAATCTCCTTTCTAAAAAGTACTGTCCTTTGTTTTCCATCACCTCTCCCCTACTATCTACACATCATAAATTGTGAATGACTGCATTTTGACATATTTTTTTTCTATCTTTTTTGTCTCCAAGCAAGTTGTAAGTTTTGGTAATGGCTGTTAGGGGAGAGATGTGTCTAAGGGACTTTAACAGCACCATTAAGCAAATCACTAAGTGAGAAAAACAAGTGTAAACAAAATCAGAAATGGTTTTGTTAAGTCAAATCATAGATATTACTTATTTCAACACTTGCAAATATTGATAAGCAGCTTTTCTAATCAGTATCTATTTCATGGGCTATTTTCTGTCCCCCCCCCCATTTCATTGAATCAGAATGTGTTTCCATCTGTACTGTGATCAAGAAAATATCCCTGTGTTTAAAACTTCATTATATGCTTGAAGAAGAATTAATTTTGTAAGTTTATTCTTTATCTGCATTGCATGTTATTAAAAGCAGATTGTTAATCATTGCCAAAACAAATCTGTAATTGAATTTAAAAAACCTCAGATTTCAACAACAAATGTTTCTTTTTTTTTTTAGAAAAGTACCTACTACATCACTATAGCCAATGACATTTGTTTTATTTTTTAAACAGAAAAAATAGATACTAGCAAATAATTAAAAAAAAAATATTAAAAGATTTTAAAGTCTTCTACTGAGATGTCAAGAATGCAACGTTTCTTTTCAGTACTGCTGTGTTAGCCATTCAAATGACATTACAAAAGTCCCACTAGATACATGTGCTAACCAAAATGTAAATCATAGGGCAAATGGTTAACAGTAAAATATAATAAACAATTTGTAAATTTTAAATAAACTAAATTCCCAAGCTTAAAGTTCCTAAAATATAAATCTAGGCTTGCTTATTTTTTTAATTACCTTGAAGTCTGCACACAGATCAAATAGTTACAGAACAAGCTCTTCTGCAAGGACAGTCTGAGTTCTGAGGAAGAGCAGATTTATGTCAAAGGCTGCCAATAGATGATGTCATTGAAGAAACAAATTTAAATTCCTCTGGAAATGAAAAAATCTTGTAAACATCTTTACATTTAATCACAGCACTTCTATTCTCCTGCCTATGTTCCAAACACCCATGAGGATTAAGAGCATTACAAGAAGAAAACACTTGCCCAAACGAATTACTCTTTTAAAAACATGGAAGAGAAAGAACACCAGATGTTCAAAAAGAACAGAGTATAGATCTAAGAATCAGAAAGGATGATGAATATGGACCATGAAACAAAGCATTAAGCAATGTGATGAGCATCTGTTGAGTAATAAATCTAGTCTTTGTACGGTTCTCTTTCCAAAAAGAATTTAAACTGAAAGTTTTCCAATGTGGTGAAAATATTGTCAAGTAAGAACATATTGGTCATTTTCACAATAATTTTTTATCTATTAATATGAATAATCACATGCTAATAAATTATTTATCTACAGAATAAATAAATACTTCCAGCAATTTATGAATAAATTGCAGTTTTTATTGATTTGTAATCCAGATGGGGGGGTCATAATTGATTAACCTTCTGAGAAAACTGTGAAAGCTAAGGGCATGTGGAAACAACAGCTATAATTTTTACATATAGATTGTATGTATAGATTACATACAACCCCTTCCTATTAAATAAGCTTATAACATTTGAAATCATGAAATCAAAGTTGTTTTCTGAGGGAAAGTAAGTATTTGTTGAGAGACTGAGAAGAAACGGTGTAATGCAATCTCAAGATCAAGAGTAAGGAACAGCAGGAAGGGAAGACCTTTTGTTCATGAAAACAGTTGCTGTTGTGAACTTCTTCGAAAGACATTTGCAGCTGAAACAGCTGCGCTGGAGGGCACAAATTTGGCATGTAAAGGTTTCTCACTGAGTGCTTATTGCCTTTGAGCAGTCTTCTGAACATATCTGAGCATAGGCAGAGAAAATGTATACTATAACTGCATACAATATTTTTTTTGTCACAGTTTTTTATGCAGAGCACGCAACATGCAGCTAGGGAAGGATATACTTGCATCACTGCAGAGACCTTGGCTCAGGCCCAGAAAATTCAGTGAATGAGAAATATGACCTGTTCAGTACTTTAGAAAATGTTTATAACAGTATAATGCAAAGAAAGTTTGGATGGGGAAGAATTACAATTTGATATCATCTTGGAAAGAAAGCAAGCTCTAGTCTACTTCACCACAGAACTTCTCTAAAGGAAAGCAGAGCCATATGGCACATGCTCTTCTAATTATGTTGCATATTAAATAGGGAATAGCTTATACTTCCCTTTTGTTTCTCTTGGGATTGTTTGGTGGTAGTGATGATGGTTTTGTAATGAAAATGAGAATCACGATAATCTTGGAAGCTATATTCTTCAAGTAACTAGGAAAGTATTTTCAAAGAAATAGTATAATAATAATATCCTAAGTGCCCTCTTTTTGCACAATGACAGCCAAGATTCATCCTGTCAGTCTTTGTTGTTTCAAAGCATAGGTTTAACAGAGATGATAAAAAACATCCAAACCAGAGTAAAAGAATTCAACTCGAATCAAGATACGAAACTCCAGTGTGAAGGGCTACGTAACTGTTTCTTAAAATACCTTCTGAAATAAGATTTATTATTTAGTGTGTCTTTTATCTATGCCCTGGTTTCAAGATTCAATAAGGGGGGTGTTTGCCGGTTTGCTCTGGACAGCAGCAGGTATACATGGAAGAAGGTTGCTCTGGCAAAATTCAGGAGGATATCTGATCCCCCTTCAGACCTAATTTCAGGTGCTTGTGTTTTATTCCATCCACATACACCCAAAATATTAAGACTTCTATTCCAAAAGCAAAAAGACAAAAACACAGTCTATATTTCCATATTAGTATTTTAAAACGACTTTTACCTGCAAGTAAATTTGTAAGGAAATGACTCCTAAGAAGTTGCACAAATTGAGCTCTTATCAACTGTAGTCTTAGCTCATTTTACCAAATTTTTTCTCTAACTCCTTCAACCTCACCTTTTCTTTTAATCACTGATCAGAATTTCTAACTTAATTACACAAGAATATGTTGCTACACATACTTCACCTTCTCCCTTTTGTTGATTTACTATTTAACTTCTCCTCTTCTTATTAATTTTTATCTACACTCTGCAGGTGAATAGATCAGTCTGTTCATCTGTCACTGAACTGTAGATCACCAGCTGTTACATTCCTTTCAACAGTTACACTAGATTGGGAAAATCATTTTTCAGTATTGCATCTTAGCTTTTGGAAAACATCCACATCAAGTAAATGTCTAAATGTCTTGACGTGAAAAATGTAATCTCTACAAACACAGAATTAAACTGCAGAATTGTACTAGATCATGCCTTACATATTTTGTACCAATCAGCAACAAAGAAACATGTATGTGCCACACTGTGCATAGTAATGATGGTGGAACAACCATCTTTTCAGTAATACCAAAACTAATTTTCCATTGATGATATATTTTTTTGTCAGGGTTTCAACTTATCTGTGGGCAATGCACAGCTCCTGATAAGAGAAGTAGCATCTTTGCAAATTCAACTCTGCAAGGAAAGAGACTGCACTCAAATGACAAAGGAATGTAACTCATAACATAACAGCATAATACTATTACAATTATGTTGCATCTTACCCTTCAGGATGCAGTGTTCTTAGGTTTAAAGGAATTCTTCATTATACCTACAATATTTAATTGAGAAATGATAAAGGCATTTTGTGAGAAACATTCTCAGGAAGGAAAACTCATACAAATATGCAATTTCCAAAACATAGATATGGATTGTTTTTCAGTTCATATGAAATTATAGATCCAAACTCATTAGAATTGCCCCTTCTCTACCATCTTTTCTTCACAAACTCCTAAGGAGGTTTTACTAAGTGAGTGACAAGGTCATATACCAAGAACCAATTTGCTGTGATACAATTAAGAAAGCAAGTGAAATCACTTCATTTATTTACTACCCAAGAACATCAGAAAATTCGAAGTAAAAATTCTTGTAACCATGATGTACCTAAATTATTTTAAAAATTCCAGTCAAATCACCTAAAATATGATTCAGTTCATGGTAATATCATGGTTTCTTGAATGAGAGTGATGCAGAGAACAAGACAATTGCTACTTCAGGCCAAATCTGTGATGTGTAAAAACTTCTGAAGTTTCAGAACTGGATAAAGAAGTTAGAACATCAGTGAATTATTAGATTTATAATTTTACAAAATTTTTAAATTTATATATTTATAAATTTCCTATTACCCCTGTTAGGTCCTAACCATGTTACCCAGCACAAAGACAGTAGTGAGCAAGAGCTGCTGGCCCTGCAGTGCTGTGCCACTAGATGCCCCAGCTCTAGGAAAGGAGAAGCAGAAGGGCATTGCAAAACTGGGGCTGACTTCCAGGTCCACATGAATTGTGAATCTGTAAAATTTTTACTTTGGCATTATCAGGTCTGAGTTTATTGCATCCAGGTTAATGCTGTTCAAATGATCTGCTCATTACATAATTCACTGTGCATGAAAAAAGTTTCTTATTTGATTTTTGTAGTGAAATTGAATTCTGTTCACATAGGAAGATAAAAATCTACTTCTATTTACTTATGCATTCTAGTATAATTATGCAATTTAAAATGTCAGGTGTTGTAGACTTAATTCTCCAATTACACAAACAGTACAGTAGTTACTTAGGGTGGGCATGGTCCCCACTCTGTAACTCTTTCCTCCCTTAATCTAGAGTCTCACCACAATTTTTGTTAAAATTTTATACAAATGTAACTAAAAAAAATCATGTTCTGTTAACAAAAACAGAGGAACAAAAAAAAATTTATGGTAACTTGTAGATTAAGAGCTCTGAATGCACTTGTATAATATTCATGAATAAACAGAAGCATAATTTTATTGAATATTAATATTCATGAGTGAGGCTAAATAAAATCAAATTCTCTTACTGACTACTGCCTTCATCTAGAAGATTAATTAAATTAAGTTCTATAAGGGCAGTAATTTCATTTCAAAACTCATTTGTAAAGGAATGGTCACTTTATCCAAATGTTATCTTTAAGCAATAAATTCAGAAGCGTTACTTCAGGCGACACTACTCATAATACATTAATGGATTTGAGAGCTTGATGCTTCTTAATGACCTTAATATTCAGGGAAAATATTTAAATCATGATTTTTGTTTAATATTAAAATATGTTGATTTCTGTTGGAAGCTGGTACATATAATGAAACAGAAAAAAACAACCATTATGTATTCCCTACACTATGTTTCACAACAAGTAAAAGGTTATAAGTAATGTTTCGCTGGAAAATATTAATTTATTAAATGAGATACTTCTTCATATTTTGAGCAAGTAAGGACAGGAGTGAAATGCCCTCAGACTGATGGATTAATTGAAGCTAAGCTTTATATTCAGCCAGCATGGGTTCATGAAAGGCAAGTCATGCTTGACCAACTTCATCTCCTTCTATGACTGGGCGACCAGACTGGTAGACAAGGAAAAGGCTGCTGATGTAGTCTACCTAGATTTCAGCAAGGCCTTTGATGCGGTCTCTCACAGCATTCTTCTGGGGAAACTGGCTGCCTGTGGCCTGGACAAACATACCCTTCTTTGAGTAAGGCCCTTTGGCTAGAGGGCCGTGCCCAGCGGGGAGTGGTGAATGGAGTTAAATCCAGCTGGTGGCCCGTTACAAGTGGTGTCCCCAAGGGTCGGTACTGGGGCCCATCTTGTTTAATATCTTTATTGATGAGGGGATTGAGTGCACCCTCAATAAGTTTGCAGATGACACCAAGCTGGGAGATGGTGTCGATCTGCCTGAGGGTAGGGAGGTCCTTCAGAGGGATCTAGATAAGCTGGATCGCTGGGCTGAGGTGAATGGGATGAGGTTCAACAAGGCCAAGTGCCGGGTCCTGCACTTTGGCCACAACAACGCCATGCAGCGTGATAGGACTGGGGATGAGTGGCTGGATGACTGTGAAGAGCAAAGGGACCTGGGGGTGTCAGTTGATGCTTGGCTGAACATGAGCCGACAGTGTGCCCAGGTGGCCAAGAGGGCCAATGGCATCCAGGCCTGCATTAGAAATAGTGTGGCCAGCAGGAGCAGGGAGGTGATCATCCCCCTGTACTCATCTCTGATGAGGCTGCACCTCGAGTGCTGTGTTCAGTTTTGGGCCCCTCACTACAAGAAAGTCATTGAGGCCCTGGACGTGTCCAGAGAAGGGCAACGAAACTGGTAAGGGGTCTGGTGCACAAGTCTTATGAGGAGCGGCTGAAGAAGCTGGGATTGTTCAGTGTGGAGAAGAGGAGGCTCGGGGGAGACCTCATTGAATTTTACAACTTCCTGAAGGGAGGTGGTGGTGAGGAGGGGTTTGGCCTCTTCTGCCAGGCAACAAACAGGATATGGACACAAGTTGTACCAGAGTAGGTTTAGATTAGACATGAGGAGAAACTTTTTCTCTCAGAGAGTGGTCAGACACTGGAATGGCTGCCCAGGGAGGTGGTGGAGTCACTGTCTCTGGCAGTGTTCAAGAGGCGTCTGGATGAGGAGCTATGAGATATGGTTTAGTGCTTGTGGAAGCAATGGTAATGGGAGGACAGTTGGACTGGATGATCTTGCAAGTCATTTCCAACCTTGTGATACAATGATTCTATATTTCTTAAACACGTATTTTTGTCATTGCTAGCCTTGCAGACAACAGTGCAATAGCATTATCACTGTATTTCAGTTAGGTAAGCAAAAGTCCTTACTTATATAAGTTAAATAACAAATATTTCAGCATTCAGTAAACTTGCTTTAGCAACTTTTTTTTTAAACTTCATTTCAGTTTTATCATGTGCTTTATTTGAAGCATGTTCTTAAATTAATGTTCTCCATACAGGTTCTCTTAAATTGAAGTGTAACTCTTCACATCATCACACCAAATGCTCAATCAATTCTTCCTACTCTTCTCTATCTCTCTTCTAGTTGTTCATACACCCCTATTAAGAACATCTCTCAAAGTCCAGGATTCAGGAACATTTCTGCCCAGAAAACAATCTTCAATTAAGTCACTGACCAAACTATTAGGTGACAAAATTCAATTTCATCTTTATGCAAAACAAGAAGCTCTTAAGACCTTCAAAAATGTTAATTACCTGGGAAAATAATTTATAGTCTCTCTTTGGTATAAGTATAGGAATGAAACCCTCATACATAAGAGCTACCTCAGAAAAACATCTCTGTTGCTTAGATCTCTCAGGAACACTGGAAAGGTAATTTAATCTTTCTAAAGTGGACAAATCAATCAGTGAAGAATGGAAACTATTTATATTTTTACAGACCGACAAATTTATAGATCACCAACATTATTATAATTTCTATGTCACCTGGAACTCATACAGTTCTAGGAATTAAATTTTTCTTCTTGTGAAGATCAAACAGGCATTAATCTGTTTGATGATTTATCCTATTTGGGACTAAACAGAGAATGAAGTAGCATTTCAGTTTGTGAGGTGTTAGCATCCATTAATAACTATATTAACAGACTTAGTAAGGCAAACTATAACATGATCCATTTCAAGATTGAATGCCTTCCAAAGTCTTTAATCCAGATACAGTTGTCTAACTTCTAGTAATTTCATCTAACTTGTAATTCTACTCTACTACCCTTGATGTTTTTCTAACATCTTGTTTCATAGAGTGAATCTACATCAGCAGAAAAACAGCAGAACACTTGATGACTCTACCACTGTGATTTATTTTAACCTCACATTATCCCTCCTGTTCAGACTTCAGGGGAAGAGAACATGCAAAGCAATGCTAAACATCCAGAAAGCTCTCTTCTGCTATTAAAGCACCTTGTCCCATAAGGTTACACCTGGTTTTACTTGCCTTTCAGCAAACAAACTTCTCAGTGAATGGATTTTCTCTTACTAGATATGACCAGAAAGTAAAATGAGGACTTAACCTCAGTTTGCATCTTTAGGTCACGTTAGAATTAGACTATCTTCTATTGCACATGAGCACATACAGCATTTCCTACAAACATTTAAACAGAGAAAATAAAACTTGGAAACTACAACCTTCATCTCACTAAAGCAAATCTTAATTTATTCTTGCCCCTGAGAACTTTATATTGTTCTTTTATTTGTAGTCTTCTTTATTTTTTTAATATTTCCAAATTAAGTATACTGCCTTGGTGCTGGAATTGCAATGAATTGATAGCTGGTTTTCTAGTATTCTAGAATTTCTATGAAGTATCCACAATCCACAGTGAGACATAAATTAAACGAAAAGCAACACAAGAAAAATATATATAAGCCAGTAATTACTTTGATTTCAATATTATTTCTAGTATTTACTATTTTCTCCAAGAATACTGATTTTTCCCCAATGTGAAGAAAGAAATGTTTCTCAGTGATATTCTTAATCATGGTGGTATCAAAGATTGCAATATGAAACTGCTTTGTTCAAGGCATTACACATTAATTTAGTTTAGCAGGGAAAGAGATGAAGGATTAAATCTGAAATCCGATTTAATTATTGAAAACTCCTGCAACTTTCATTAATTTCTGTGACATAATGCAGTACCTTTGGTAGCTGGAAAGCTTTCTGAAATTTTTTATTCCAGTTTATCTGTTTTTGCAAAACCGCATATTGGACACATGCCTTGATTGCAATTCTTTTAAATATTTTTGAAGTACTTTAATATATGTTTAACAAGTTAAAAAGATAGCCTTAAGCATCAAATTATGAGGATATTTGACATACTTTGAAATCTTCAAAATCTGACTACACAGAAAAAATATTTGTATTTTACTTAGTACTTCGCAATCCTCCCTATATGATGTTGGTGCTCAACTTTTTTCTGAACTGATTTTCCAGGCTTAAGTATTCTTTTCAAGTCAAACTGTAACAGCTAAATTTATATCAATAAATACATCACTTTTTTCCTATGAGAACTTATCTCAGACTAATGTGATATTCTATTATGGATAATTAAAGTAGCTCTAAAATATCACTTATATTAAGGGAAAAGTTAATTTACTGTGTATTTTTAACTAAGGGTGGCATTCAGTATTACTCATAAACATGCTAATGGTTTGAAATTTCTGTATTTTTTCCTTTCTTTTTTTAAAGTCTTCATCTTGTTAGAATTCAAAGTTTAACTAAAAAAATACAAGGACAATAAGCAAAGATGTAGGAATTATTGTGGAGCAATTGACTTTAAGAGCTAGAATTTTTTGATCTCTTAGCTTTTTGGCACTGCTTTTATTTTCTTTTTTCTTTTTTTTTTTTAAAATACGCAAGTGCATTTCATAGATTCTTCTTTATCTTAATATTAACAAGAGCTTGCCAGCACTTTTAAACATTTAAAATTAAAAAATAAAAAACACACAATAATGAAAAAATTCTAAACCACATCTTTTAGAAAAAAATATTTTTGACAGATTCCATGCTAATATTATCAGTTGTATATTTTAGCAAAAGCAATTTTCTTAATGATTATCCAGTTATCACAGACCTCAGTAGCAACGGTATTGCATTCTTGCTATCTGTTACGTGGAATAACAGCCCAGTTTACATTGTTTAAACCAAATCAGGATGAAGTGGTTTATTGATTTAGTAATGACTTGTAATTAACATACATTCAGGATTGATAGCAGTAATACTACATACAAACCCCATCTGTGTGCATGGGCTAAATGTTAACACCCGCACATTCCTACACCTAATCTCACAGCAACATACCCAAGTCTGCAACTTATTGTGCCTTGAGCTGCTGACTACTCTAGAAGGACTGCCCTGTCTGTCCAATACTGAGGTAGAGTCCACCATATGGGTAGCAGGCAGCATCACATCAGATTTGGGTCACTGCCACTTCCACTCCAAGGAAATTTCCCTGCTTCTTTCAATTGAAAAAATGCCCCAAAGTTTAGAATGGCAAATACATCATAAAATCATAGAGATCAGAAAATAAAACTAAGGTCATCTACTGCAACCATCAGCCCACCACACCCACTAACCACATCCCTCAGTGTCACATCAATAAGCTTCCTGAACACCTCCAGGGACAGTGACTCCAGCACCTCCCTGTGCAGTCTGTACCAGTGCATTACCACTTTTTCTGGGAGGGGACAGAACCATGACAGCTGATCTCAGCTGTCCAAAGGGATATTCCATATAATATGACACCACATGAAAAAACAAACAAACAAACAAAAAAAAAACATAAGAATGAAGAGAGTTGGCCAGGGGGACAGCTGCTGATTAGAGACTGTCTTGGCATCAGTCAGAGGGTGGTGAGCAACTGTGTTGCACATAGTTTTGTGAATATAAATCATCATTACTATTATTTCTTTTTTTTCTTTTTTTTCTTTCTTTTCCTTCTCTGTCTTGGTAAATGGTATTTTATCTCAATCAGCAAGTTTTACTTTGTTGCTTTTTCCCAGTTCTTTTCCAGAATGCATTGTGAAGGAGGGGGAGTGAGCAAATGACTGTGTGGGGCTGAACTTCCTGCTGGGTAAACCACAATAAGCATCACAATAATTGCGAGTATAAAAGAAACACAAGCACACAAAGTGCAGTATTGATCAGAAAATCTATGAAGGATGATAGAAGAAGAAAAAAACCCTTAAAACAGAGTCCCTTCCTTAACCTCTGGAAATGCTTTTCATTCTTGTCTTTCCAAGCTCATTAGATGACAGACAATTTAGTCTCCTTTACATGTGACAGATTTAGTATTCATTTGCAGTGTTCACAGTCCAAATGTGTTACACGAGACACAGCACAGTTTCAATATTTGATACACTCTTCTAGCCATCTCAGAAATATGTGCAGTCAAACATCCAAAATATTCAGAACCAAGTTTATCAAGATATTGACTTTTCTCAATGTTAGAGAAAAATTTAAACTTCAAAAGGTTTTAAACAAGAAGTTGTAATATTCATATGTGTATTCTTTTCACTTCTCATCATGGTAAATGATTTTTTTTTTTTAATCCATTACAGGCTAGAAGGAAAAATACTGCTTGTGTTTCCTGGATTTGGTGCAGAATACAGCTGTCAGAGCCCCTTGGAAAACACAGCAGATTTTCCATACCTTCAAGATGATCTAAAAGTTGTCAGTTATTGAGTGGTAATACTGATAAGTGAGAAAACAGTTTGATTAGCACTTGATACAAAATCATTTCCAGCACCCTATCAATTAGCATTTATGCTGCTGTCACTGGCTCCTGCATATATTTTGTTTGATGTGCCGAATACCAAATACGTAGTTTTCACTCATCACAAAACTCAGTGAGGAGTTTTAAGTCAACTATATGGCACTAACCACCTCTTGACTACTTTCTCACGAGACCTAATGATTCTTGAGACACTTCCTTTTTTTAAAAAAAATCATTTTCTAATAGTACATGGCAATGTCATCAATGTGACCTTTATTTGAGTTTTATAGAAAAACTATTAGCAAAGTTACTGAAACAAAATGAAAGAGAACTTCAAATTGACTTAGTGTCATATTTTCTTCTCTCACTCTTTAAGAAAGCAAATGCATCAGCTGTAAGATACTACTCTGTAAGATATTATTCTGTTAACTTCTATGTCTCAAAGCTTGCTGGGGACACAGATGGACTTGTTCAAGTCCAGACAAGTCCCGAGCAAGGCTTGTGAAATCCCCCGCTTTACGCAACTCCTGCTTCTTTTCCATCTTTTCTATCGCCCTCCTTCCCTTCCCCGTCTCCCTGACTAGGTCTTAGTAATAAACTGGATGCAACAACATAAGAACCGTTGTTTCTTAATCTCACACCGGGTATACAGATATTAAAGAACCTCATCTCCCTCCTATAAATTGGAGCGAGACATCAGCTTGTACAGACTAGTGGTGCATTGGTGTGTTTCTCTACAGATTGCAAGATTCTGCTGTTTATTTTAGAGGAAAACTATAACTTAGTGAATTTGACTCTAAACTGTTTTGAAAATATCAAAGCTCAAGTACAGATTTTGTGCATGACTTAAAATATAATCCATTAAAAGCAAGGCAGGATATCATATGCTAATGATTGATTTGGAATAAATATTAGTTTTGTTCAGAACACTACCAATGTCAGAGGAAAAGCAAAAAGAATCCATAAAAGAGCTGTGAACTCCAGGTGTTGCAATTTTCTCTCTTTCGATGACTCTTCCTCTCTGAAATTCAAACCCTACATTCAAAAATCTATGTTCACTCCAGTCAACAAGAGGAACAGCTGACTAAGAAAATCTATGCAAAATGAGCACTTTTTCTGAGAAACTCCAAGAATAATGACAGTAGAAAATGCTAAGTACATAGGAGAAAAATGTACCTGACATTTTTGCCGTCTCTGAGCAAAGACGTGTTAATCAGAACCAGTTGCAGCATAAGATGAATAACCAAAAGTGTATTCAGTTAGAAACATGCAAGTACTTACCTGGAAAAATCCTACATCTCTGCCATCCCTAGAAATGCCTTAATGCTCAAGCCCCTGTTCCCATCACCAGTCTGCAGGAGTCACTTTGCAAATTCTGAATAACAAGGACACAAGAGTCAGAAACAAGAAAAATAAAAGATTATGACTGTATTTACTAATCTTAAAAGCTCTTACATCTTACATGTGGGACTTGGTTAAAACCCCAGAATAATTGTTCTTCACCTTTTAAAGGCTTTCAGAACACAATACAGGAAGGGTTCCCAGGGGACTCCTTTTCAGCACTGTCTTACTCAGCTTGTCATGGGGCTTCTGGATGTCTCTTCCATCAATGACTCTGGAAGAAAGTGTCTGAAAATCAAGTATTTCCTAACTCAGATTCCTCATTAACACCTCACTCTTAATTCTTGGATATGGACTAAGCTTAAGAAGGAGATGAGCCCCTCAGGCTGTCAACATTAAAGTATAGAAGTATTTCCATGTATCCACTTTACTTCCAACATCTGCCAACATTTCACCTTGCTGGATATTGGATGCTAATCCAAAACAGAGGCTGAAGATAATCTTTCAGTGTTTGGGTATTCATAACTAAAGACACATTTTCCTTGCCTGCCCTTCTTTGTCCCAGACAGACATTCAGTTCACTACAGTTAATGTAGATATCAAGACATCTCATAGAGCAGCCAGGGCACATAGCACAGTAGAACACAATATCTTTTTTTTTCCTTGTGCTTCAATTTTTCTCATCCCTACTCTTTCTTTGTAACCAAATTTAAATTTGTCCTGTCATTGTCAGAGCTGTCTTAGCTGTTAATTTAGCAATTTACCTTTAGTAAACTAAAATCTTGTAATGAAGTTGTTTTGATATCTAGATTCTATTTCTTTTCCAACTACTATGGACAAAGAGACCTCCCCACCAGTGAATATGAGCTGAGCTGTGCTACGATGTGATCTAACTTACCAGGGCATTTATAAAATGTTTCAAGGTCTCAACGTAGCAATTTTATTTATTATTTTAGTTTACAACCAGTAACAGGAATATTTACTATATTAAAAGGTGGGAAAAATTGGTATTGTAAGGCATAATTGGACTGACATTTTAATCACTGTATCAATATATGGCAATGCCAACATTTTGCTCAGGTTAATACATTGAGCAGAGTAGTGGTTCATTATTGTAATTTGTTTTTACAAATTGCTTTAATACCCCTTTAAAGTAAATGAAAGCTGCATTTTAATATGTGTCCCTCTTTAAAGTCCTGGAAATCCTTGAATACTGCATCCTATAAGTCTCTGCAGCGTGTGTAATCTACAGAATCAGCAAAGGGAAGAGTATGAGTCAAATTAAACTTTAAGTGAAAGCTGGGAATTTCTTCTCTAAAACTATTGCTTCATGGTGCTATAAACCATATCATTTCAACAACCATTGCACTGGATCCCAGGAACTAGCAGGCGTGGCCTACTGATATATTAAACACATAATAAAAGCCACAATGGTCACTTAAAGAATATTTCTTTTTTTGACTGTGTTTTTCTGAAGAGTGGAGAGGGACATTTACAAGAAAATGTCTCAGTTTTGCCATATAGCTTGAAACTACCTGGAGATTTTATACATCTGTACTAGTATAACATGCTGTCTAACAGGGAAGAAACTCTCGTGGATTTTTATTTTCCCACTGCAAAAACTTCGTACTGTAGATGCGCTGTTCAAAGCTGTAGCGTATTTCTGTGTAGTACCACTGCCTACAATTGTGATGTATAATTAGTCAGTGCTTTTAGATTTTGTTCAGCAAAAATAGAGCCACTGGCAGTGCATCAGACTTTTTGCAGTATTAGAAAGGTTGTTCTCTTCAGACATAGTTTCACCCATACTATCTTCCAGGTATTATAATCCGTTGATTTGTACCAAATTTCTCACAGCATTTGAAGAGTGATCAAGGTGTAATCTAAAAATTGCCAGCAATCTTAGTGTTCAAAACTGCAGTTGAAGGCGAAATTCATGTGGGAAAAGCTGAAATGATTTTGGTCATGCATTTCTCTTCAAAATCTAGAGCTTTGGTTTAGACATTGTTGACAATTCTGTGATTCTGTGACTTGGGAGAAGCATTATAATATGGGATGTTATGGAGAAATATTTACAATATTTGGTTTTTAGATAAATTCTGCAGGATTTTGGAGGGCTGAACACTCTGCTTTTTGAGTAATGAGATTCTCCAGGATCATTTCTGTGAGTCCTAGTAGATTTTCAATAAAAGTAGCATGCAATAATCAGTCTAAGTGAAAAGGTAAAGGTTCTGAAGAGATGCATGGTAAATTGTTCTGCATTTCTACGATCTTTTTAACAAGGGGTTTGATGTTATGGTTGAGTCATTTTTAAGTAAGATTCCATATGGATTCAATCAACTTACACCTACCACAAATCTTGACGCCCAAACAATTTTCCTTAAGTAAATATTTGTGTTTTCTTTTGAAGCTAATGAAATAAGAGTGGCAGAAAAATATTTAAAAGGCTATGTTCAATTCCTTAGTATTGCCTTGTGAAATTGCAAAATAAAATTATAAAATATTTACATACAAGATTAGTACAAACAAACAAACAAACAAGCCAAGTATAAAAAAACGTTCTTAATTCCTGCTTTGCCTGCAGCTCTAAACTAATACTGCATGGATAATTATAGAAACTGACTGGGTACCTTTCAGTGTCACAGTCTTAAGCATATTATGCTTATATAGGATGCGTCCTGCTACGGAATTCTGCCTATCAGTTTCAGAAGATGTAAAATAAGGCTCAGTTTATATAACATATGGAATTATGTATTAAAACAGAGTACAGCATAGCAAATGAATGAGATTCAGTTTAAGTTAGATTTAAACAGGATCTATATTTATATCAAACAATGTAAAGGCACTGTGTGTTCACTCAAACCTTTTCAAGTTAAAAGATGAAATTATGGACCTAAATAGCAACCCAATATTAACACAGTAGAGCTTCCTATTTATTATTTTTTTGCTATTTATTATTCCTTATTTATGGAAACTGCAACAGATACAAAAAAAAACTGTTTGATAGAGCTAATTCTCAGCTACAAAATGCTATTTTTTAACACAATCACCACCATTAGTTATGCATTTTTGTCCATGACAAACAAAAGCCTGCTGGTGACCCACTGTCACAGCCACCACTGCTGAAACACATAACCAACCACCTCACTGTGCTCACATCCACTCTTTGGTCTCCATAAATGTTCAGAAAGCATCAATGAATTTCAATGGGCACAATTTTTTTCCACACAGAGGAATTCAATGACACACTTTTGCTTTATATAAACTTCATGTCAGACATCATTCTGTTCCATTTGCTGCCATCTGTCACATGACAACAACATCTAGCAGAATACTGGTGGGAAAACTCAGCCTCTACCGTCATACCATTAACATCCACCTCTGATGTCATAGGCCAACATCATGAAACAGGAGGCACTATGTTGGGAGCAGCTCTCATATTATGATCACATTTAAGTCCTTTACAACTATAGTTAGAATTCAAACCTTTCCAATGAGCAAAGGGTGAAATTTTCATTCCGCAGGAAGGATGTGTGCACACTGCAAACCAGTCTTCATGTGAGAGCTGTAAAGTCAAGATGAGAAGTACCACTCCAGGACAAAAAAGAAAACATACCAGTTTACAAATAGACTGGATGTTATGGTTCACAGATAGTTTTACCTTGAATTTAAAAAATGGGACTAAGATATACAAATCTTGTCATTTCTTCTAGCAAGACAGATTTCTGTTTGTTTATATTCTCAACCTCTAATAAAACCTATGTTGTATTTTCCAGAATTCATATAGTAATACATTTTTGGAGAATTTTCGTATACTTTAAATGAATAAAAGATGTGAAGGCAAACTAATGTCATATCTCAACAAAACAATGAAAAACAGAACTATAAAGTGAACAGCAGGAACTCTGCTGTAAATGATAAGGATAAATCACTTTCCAAAAGAACTGTAAATTGCTATGATGCCACGTTGAATATTTCCTGAAAGAACAGAATAAAAAAAACCAGAACTCTTAAAATACCAAATTAATTTTCCTGACACCTCCATTAATATATTTCACTTCCTTTAACCCTTTCACTTCCATAATTGTTAGTTTCTGATGCATATCCCTTTCAGTGGCACTACAGTGGAAAGGAGCTGATGCCTGTGGTGACTGGTTATGAATATGATGCATTTTTAAGAAGTCTCTTAGTGTGACAGAGAAGAAAAAAGTACAGAACTATGTATTCACCGATTCTTCCTTCCAGATCAGAATCACAGCCTGTAGTGCTGTAGTTTTAGCCTTAGCATTATGATTGGTGTTTCACATCTCTTCCTCCTGATGCCACACATACACAAAGAATGTTTCAGAATTGGCGAAGTCATCGAATATTAAATGGTTTTTTGTATGTGAATATTTTACCTATCCTGTTGGAATAAAAGTTGTTGGGTAAAGACCAGAGGTCAAAAAAACAAAAAACAGAATGAAAAATTTAGTACCAGTTTATTTGCAGAAGCCCTGATTCTGACTTTATTTCACCAGGTTTTAATGCATCTAGGTTCATGGCAAATCTAATCCATTCATCAAACACAAAATCCTATCAAACCCAACTATTCATCCCAGTTATGGTGAAAGATTGTGGGTAAGCTGATATAAAATATCTCAGATGTGTTTTGGTAGCATCAGGTACTACACATTCTACTCTTTCAAGTTGATATTAACACCATAAAAACACTTCCATAAGAAGTACTCTGGTGCAGAAGTCAGAGAATCAGGCATAGAACATTATAAAATCAAATAATCATCTGGTCATTTGCTGTTGGAAACAGTCTATCATATAGCATGTATTACTGTTTATCTTCTTAGCAAATATGAGCCTGTTAATGCATTCTTTCTTTTGCATAATTTTTAAATAAAAAGTTACAGAAAATAGCTAATATCAAAGATCAGGCTAAAAAACTGCTTCACTTAATGGTGGCTGTTACTAAGATATATGCAATGCAATACATTAAATACATTAATATTTTAACTGAATAATGTGTAAATAGGTTATTTT